TAAAAGATAGAAAAAAATGTTTAGAATAAGTCTGCATATTTTGGGAGTTAAGAATACATAAAATTAAATCATTTTGGCCTCTAAAGATATATGATTAGTTTAACAAAATCTGATTGTCTTTTAATTTTGGGCTAAATGTGATTGGAATAATAAAGAAAATAAAAATTATCAATTATAAAACTTCTAGATATCTTATATGAAATACTCTGATGCCTATAATATGTTTGTACATTTATATCATTATGTAATTATATGTTATTGGTCTTAAAAATTAATAAAATGTAACAATATCCTTGATTAATCATTTCTAATAGAACAATAATATTTTGGGATAGAAATATCGATGAAAAAATGAATATAATATAGTAACAAATATATGTTTATTTAATTAATCAAAATTTAAAAATAATTTTTATTTGATAATAAGTATCATTGTGTTTAATATTTAAAAGGTGATTATAAATGGAATTCAGAAAGTAAATCTCTTTTAAATGAAAGAATGCTATCAATTAATAATAATACTTTTCCGTTTAAGAATACTTAAACAGAGTTATGTGTGTTGCAGAAACTAAAGCTGTATATTTCAAAAGAAGAGTAAGAGATTATGAAGATGCTCTCATTTTTATTGCTATTGATGCAGCATCTGCTATTTTTGCCGCTATTTACATTAGATTAGAATCCTTAGTTGAAATCAGCAAAGTTTCAAAGAGCATGCTCTAAACTGAATTCAACATCAAGGAAACTCCAAAATTTACCCCAGGTATCTATATCTTCTTTTAATCTTAATAGTCTGCCTAGGAAGGATAACTCAGTGAATCTGCCCTTGAAAGAATTTCTTAACTTTTGGAAACAACCAAGAAGCCTACAATGATTTCAATGAATCATTCGCTGTTTCAGTTGATGACTAAAAGGATAGAGTCGTACTAAAACTGCAATAAAATTTTCCATTTTTAATTTTATAAGTCTTACTTTAAAATCTTAGATAATAGTTACATCATAATTGATTAGATCATTAAAAATTTCGGTAATAAAAGGAGACTTTAATCTCTTTTGGAAATAAAATCAGAAAGCTTCTTAAACTAGAAAGATTCCTTCCAATTAGAAAATGACTTTGTGAATCAAATAATATAAAATCTTGAGAAATTATAAAAAGACTAATCTTAAAAGGGTAATATATTATAATTACTACATAATTAGAAAATAATTTACATTAAATTAGATTAGAAAAAAATCATAATCATTTGATGATATTGATATCCTCTTTCTTAATTGAAACATTAAATTAGTATTTATCAATTATTAATAAGAAGTATACATATTTATGAATTTATTTGAATATTTATATTTAATAGGTCTAATCATAATAAAATGAATTGTAATAGACAAATTCAAGACACTAATTATTATGGTAGGAGATTTCTGAAATGAGAGATCAGTTAGAATAAGGCAAACTTAAGAAGATAATTTTAATAGGTTACTTATTTGAAGCGTTATAAGTAAACTAAAATTAATTGGTAATGGAAAATTATAAGAACAAAATAAATAATTATAATCCTAACTCTTAGGAAATTGAATTAATTCAGTATTATTTATGAATTTAATTAGATTAATCAAAGAAGGGAAAAGGATTATTAGGTAAAAATAGATGAAGTAAAAACTATTAAATAAGCAATTTGAGAAGAAAATAATGAAAAAATTAATAGTTATATACTTATAAATAAATTCAATAATATGTATAAATAATACCTAAACTAATAGTTACTAGCGAAGTCTACACTATTAGAAAGTTAAAAGGACTTCCAGAGATACCCTTGATACAAGAAGATTTAGAGAAAAATTTATCATACACAAAAATCAGATAAGTGGTAAGATAGATTGGCATCTTTAAATTAGAGAATCAGAAACCTACTTCTATGGAGTATAAGAATTAAATAATGGGAGTTTACATTGAGGAAAATCGTTAGAAAATCTAAAATAAGAGAAAGAATTTAAATCATGAAAAATGGATCTATTTAAGGAGGTTAATATTTCTTCAAGGAAAGGGTAATTGAAAGAGTAAAATAATTTATGTTGATGGAGCTTATTATAAATATGAGAATAATATGATTATCAACATCATAGATACGTTGAGTATTATCATAAAATGGTGCCCTGTACAAAAGTGATTTTTTTGAAATATATAGAATGGATAAAGATTCAACTTGTTCTATGATGGATAAGGGAATCCTATAACTTTAAATGTTAGAAGTACATAAATTTAGTATTATATTAGAATATATGAAAGCGAGTGGTTAATGGATTAGATGGATTAAAAGATAAAATGACTAAGCGATTTTTTCAGTAAAGAGAGCTAAGAAATTTATAATGAAGATTGGAAAGTTGGATACTTTGTATTGTTATGTCAACTAGAAAGAATATTAATAAATGTAAATTTAAAGAATTAAAATATTTTAGTGGAGGTGGATTATATGTCAGAAAATTAAGAAGGAAATTCAATAAAAATTGGAAGATGGATAGAGTTAAATGAGGGATTCTAGGAAATTTCTTAAGTCACTTATAATGGTGAATCTAATGAAAAGATGGAATATTATGTATAATATTAAAAATATATCTAAATTTTTATAAACATTAAAAAATTATCTTCGTGGTGGCAAATTATTGAAGAGTGGGATGATCGATATTCAATAATTATAGGAACTGGGCGGAATTGTCATAAGATTTTAGGGATGAGAATTTAGTCACTTACCGTGGTGTTTATAATGAGGATGGGAAAAAGTTTCAAAAAAAGTTGGATGCTGGATAGATTTATGGGATGTGTTTCGTAAGCGAGCATAAGTCACTTTTTGTGGAGAATATAGTGAAAAGGATTAGAAAATAGGAATATGGAACACAATGGCTTTGGAGACAATAAATGCATATATAAAAAAAAATAAAATAGGGGTGGTGATTACATGCAGATTGATATTGGAGAAGATTTTTGGTTTGAAAATTGGATCACTTACAGTTAAAGCGATATATATATTTCATTAATCTTCTGAATTTAAAAATTTTGTTCTACATGAAGAATGAGTTTTTAATAAATCAGAACCATTTTTTTGATTATCAGAAGAATTTAATCATGTTTTTGAATCCTTTAGGGTATTATATCTGTATAAATGTGGTTTGTTTAGGTAAAGCTTAAAAGAAAAGGCTTATTTTAACTTATATTTAGATTAAATTAAAAAAAAAAATATTAGTCCTCTTTCTATGAGCTAATCGAAAAATTTTAAAGATTAAAAGTAATATATCTAATAAAAATTCATTAAAATGATATGTATTTTATCTGTATGCAGGGGAGGATGATATAAGAGGTATGAAAAATGGTCCATGGGAAATATGGTTTTAGAATAATAGTGAAAATTACTCAAAGGAATTAATGAAATAGTTAAAATAATATTTTAGAGGTTTCGGAAAAGATGATGAATAATAGGAAGGTTCAAGAAAAATTAGAAAATGAATAGAATAAAAAGTAGGTTGTGGCAGATAATATGATGAGTATAAAGATAATAAAATAAAAGATGGGTAATGGATTGATATTTAAAATGAATAGTCATAAATAACTTATAAAGGTGAATAGAATATGAAGGGTAGAAAAGAGGTAGATTGAATTCACTTTATAATTGGAAAAATGAGAATAAAAAATGTAAAATAGATTTTATAATTATATTATTGATGGATGAATATATGAGGAATAGAATGCAGGCTCAAGAAAAATTTGAAGCTGGATTGATTTGGATGAGAGGTTTGAATTAGGAAAATGAATTAACTTATTATGGTTAGTATAATAAAGATGATAAAAAGGTTGGTATTCTTACTCTAACAAACTAAGAATACTAAAGTAATGGGTGTGAAGATGTTGTTGAGTAGGCATTATATTCTATTATATGATATTATAACTTAAAGTATGAGGAAAAGAATTTTAACATATTTTAATTTTTCAAATTATAAATGTAAAAAATATAATTAATAAAAAGAAGTTCAATGATTTATTTGAAAATAGAGATGTATTCTATTAACAATTTTCCCTATGAATAATTGCATCTATTTCGATGGATATCTCAATATTTTAAAAATTCGGAATACATAACTTAGAATCAACTTTGATTCTGAACATTCCAAGATCATATTCTAATCTTAATTAAATTTTTATTTCTCCCCTAACTTCTTAATTTAAATTAATAGGGATTATTTTCTTATTCAATACTTCCCCAGTGTACCATATTTCAGTTTCATTGAAGTAGTATTTTTACATATTTGATTTTAAAACAATTAATTTTAAAGTTAATGTATCATTTAAATATAGAGTTGGGATAGTTGAAAGAAAAGATGAACAATTTGGTGTAGAACACCATAATAAAACAGTATCATTCTTAGCTAAATGTAGATCTAATGGTATAAAACTTGTTTATAAGCTATTTGTTATAGATTTAGTTGGATGTGTCGCTTCTAAGTATGATGTAACTATAAGGGTTATATTTTCCCAAGCAATCTCAGCACTTAATAATATTTTAACTTATCCTGGAACTATACTATTCACAACAATAGGAGTTAATTTTTTATTCAACCCATTTCCAGTTGCCCAAACTTCAGTATTAGTTAAAGCTATTTAACTCATTCCTGTTGGTGTAATAAATTATTTTAGAGTGAATATATCTTTATAATAAATTGTTGGAGATTAATCTAAAGAAATTAAACAATTCCAATTTGTGCACCAAATTAAATTACCTTAAAGTTCAGTATTGTTTTATTCTTCTGGTTGATTTGACCTATCTGATGTTTTATTTAGAGTGATATTAAAATCAAAAATATATTCATATTTTGCTTATGCTTCTTCAACTGATTCAAAAATGAATGAAAAAAATCCCTAATAGATTATACTATTATATTAAAATTATCTTTCACTTAATTGGGATTTTGGTATTAATAATGTATAATTCCTTTATTTATTTTCAGGATTGCTTGATGATCTTCCATCAAATTTTGTTATTTTTCCAATAGAATTATGATATTAATTGCCAAATTAGATAATTATAAGTTCAAGGCATGTTGTATTTCTTGGTTTTCCATCAGCTGTAATTAAACCAAAATATAATGGATCTTCAAATAAATTATCAGTGTATCCCAAATTAATCTAAACATCATTTGAACCTTAATTAAGAATAGCATCTCCCTTAAAATCAAAAGGTAACTCTTTGGTATCAAATTTTGAGTAGTATTTGTTACAATCAATCGATGTATCTATTTTGCTTAGTACAATAACTAGCAATTCGATAAGTAGAGTTATTACTTTCATTAGGATAATTTTTATTATAAATTATTTTTCTAATTTCTATTAGATATAAATGCTGCTCCTAATAAAAAAGTATTTATAAAATAGCACAATCTCAAGTTCTATGCCTTATCAATAAATAGTATAAACAATAAATAAACTCTAGATATGATTTAAAAAAAAGAGATACTTTAAAATAAACTCAATTATGTAGAAGAAAATATTATTTATTTATTGTTAAAATTGATGTAGGTTGGTTTTTTGGATAAAATTAGAATAAAATATAAGTTATCTCTGTAATAATTTCCATCACAAATTTACTTTTGAGTCTTGATCCAGGTTTGTATTTAAAATCTAAAGAAAGTGTATGCAGGCACTTGTGTGATGGAATTTGTGGCTACCTTTATATTTTAAATATTCAAATCAGTATATGACTATGGTTTTGAGTCTGTTTGTATTGACTATCGCATGGCCTTATTATTTAAGTCGATCCATCACTGGTGCAGCTTAAGCTCCTTTTGGTTGTTGTGTATTTTCCTTTGGTGGACACATTTGGATAAGATAACAAAAAAGTATGGTGAACAATCCTGTAAGGAGGAATGCCTTCTGGAGTGTTCTTCGGATATGTATTGGCTAGTGTGATATCATCTGAATGGACTGTAATATAATTGAGAAATTATAAAAAGTGGCTATGTGCATTTTATCTAGAAATTGGTGCACTTGTTTCTATTATAATTTATATATATTTGATAATAAAAGTAATGCAATTTACATACCAAGTATTGTATTGCTTTCTAAACAACCTCCCTAAAATATAGATGTGAAACTCTATGTTCAGGATAATAATGGGACTTATGAGAGGATGCCTTACATTGAAACGCATCCGTCTTCAGCAAGGAGTACCGCTGTAATGTAAAGCATCTCCAATTTTCATAATTAATTGGATGGTAATTATAAAAAATCTATGTTGATACAGATTTAGTGAAGAAGATACTAAAGTTTCATTCAACACCATTTAATCATATCGCTTCCACTCTTTACAAAGAAAAGTAATTTTGATTTACAAAAGTAAAATTCGGTTTATTATTTATAATAAAATATTATAATAATTTTTTTTCTTATAAATAAATAGTTAAAGTAAGATAATCATAGAGTAGAACTGAAATATAAGATAGATCTTTTTAATCATAATAAATAGCTTAATATAAATTTTCTGTTTATTGTATACCCATCATTCCAAGTCGAGATCTAGAACTAGAACCAATGTTTGTCTAATTTTGAATAGGCTATCCAAATGGAGAAGTAATCCTGCATAAACTCAACATGAATATGTCTAATAAACTATATATGAAAGTGAGGATGTACAAGTATATAAGTGTTAGAGATACATTGATAAAACGAGAATAAATCAAAAGATAATAAAAAATCAATATTTTAGATAATAATCTCCTTTAACATAAGATAAATACTTATAGCAAGAACATACAAGATACTTAAAGAGGATTGATTGTTAAATAAATTTAGAGACATTTTAACAAATTTATGGATTATAATTGACTTGTACTCTTTCAGATAATAAATTACATCATATTTTCTACTTAACATCAAAAAAGCAATCAAGATATGTTTGAACACCATTGTATAGATATAAGTATCTTCTACACAAGTTCTGAATGACACAGTAACTCTGTTTTAATTATTTGTTCTGGCTGCTCAAATACTATTGATAATTTGTTAATAAGTTCTAAACTGTATTTACTCATCATTCTTTCTGGAAAATCTACAATTTTATATGGATTCATTTTATTTTTTTGTTCTTTTAGACTTATTTGTGTGGCTTGTATTTCGTGTCATTTTGATGATTGGAAAGATATAAAGCATGCCCAAAATGTTTAAAAAATTAGGAAAAACTTCATATATAGTAATTGATACATGCAAAATATTAAAATAAAAAGAATTTTTTGGTCTGATTACAACCAGGTTCCCAAATAATTCTGTTTATGTTGATATGTGTGAAAAGACTAATTTATTTACTTGTTAATTCTATTCAAAATGGTAAAAGCAATTTTGTATCAATTTTCAAGAAGTCATCCGTATAATTGATTAAATTGTTAAAAAGTTCATTAGTTTTATCCGAATGTAAAGATTCCTTTTAATGGATTCATGATAATTACTAGAACTATATAAAATATGGTAATCTGTTCTTTAGGAAATGTTCACAAATTTAAATAAATCTATTAATAACAGGCTTGTTGAATATAATAATTGGTTTCTACAAAATATTTAAATTTATGGATTGTATAATATTTTTAGACACGAAATCCCTTGCAGTTGGAGTAACTGATTGATTATACAGTCTTTTTTGCAATTGATTTATGGCTACAAATAAGAAATTAGAGAATATAGTATTATTTTATTAATAATAATTATTATTATATATAATACATTTATATATATAAATTATGTATATATAAATAAAATTATTACAAGATTCTTAGTAAATTTATATTTCTATTTGGTTTTATATAATTAATCAACTCATTGGTTACACTTAGGACACCATAAATGGATTAACTAATTATAATTATAATTACCTGGTTCCATTTAGGGAAAAGCATACTGAATAGATTAATTAAGTTTTTTATTATCCTGTCTTAAATTTCCTTCAATAAAGATTAAATGTTAATAGAGGAGGGCATTGTATAGAGAATTTCTCTTTTAAGTTCATTTTTATAACTCTATCCCTTTTCAAGATTCTTCAAGTTCGTTCGTTTATTATACAAAAAGTGTTTAGTCTCAATAAATCATTTGTTTATTTGTAGTTAGATATTTTGTTTTGAAAAAAAATTCTAAAGTTATTTTATGTTGTAAAGCTTCAAAATCCTTAAAATGGTATTTGATAGAACATTTTCAATCTAATAGATTGATTATTAATTATGCAGAATTTTCACAATTAAGTGATTTAGTTATTCTATATTCTTAGAGATTCAAAAAATGCAAAAGCTTTGATGAATTAAAATGTGATGATTTTACATCAATGATAATCAAATCCTAATTTCCAAAAAAATTTTGTTTTTGTCTTAACTTTAAAAAATACGATATTTTGATTCATAATATAAAATATATATATATAGAAATTCAATATTATTTTTTAAATAAAGAATTGGAATAGAAAGAAGATTTGTATGATTTGTTAGCTTCATAAAAATAATTCAATCAAGACAATAAAAAGCCAAATTAGATTTTCATAAATTTTCTGTTAAATCAATATGCTTCTCACCAGATGGAACTTCTTTAGTTTCAGGTAGCTGGAATAGATCAATCCGTTTATGGGATGTTAAGACAGAATAATCAATATTTTAACACAATTAAATTCAATTAAAAGGTTTTTTTTCATATTTATTTAGTTAATCCTAATATACCAATTCTTGTAATAGCCGAATATCCTTATTTATTAGCAAATGGAGCTTTAATATTATAAGGATAATTTATCTCTACTTTAGGAGAAGACTTAAGAATATTATTGAAAGAAAGAGGATGTCATAAGTACTTTTTTTTGAAAAATTAATAATTTCAATTATATATTTTATTGACTCAAAAGAAGCAATAATAAATTAATTAATTAATAATTGATTTACGAAAGAGACAGACTTTATTTTAAGTATAAACGCAAATCGACTTAATCCCATAAGTTATTAATTTAAATTGGTAAATCGTCTAAAATAGATTTCAAGTCACTTTATAAATATTCTAATATAAAGCATAATAATATCTGTTATATTATAATAAAAGTAATTTTCTTATTTTAAAATAAGCTATCTATCAAAAGTTATAATTAAATTCTTATATATTAAAAAAAGAGCATAAAGAAGATTTTAATTAAATTGTTACAAATTAATTCAATAATAGAATTAGATAGTTCTAATTTAAAATGCATATATTCACTAATTAAATCATTTGATTAAAATTTTAATTGTAATTATCTTTCAAAATAATTATAAGCATAAAAATATAGCTAAATAAATACCAAGAAGCTTTAAAAATGAGGATATCGATATACAAAAATTTATCTCTTAAAATTGATTGACCATTTTTACAGTTAGAGAATAATTTTAATAAATTGAAATGGATGTTTCATTAAACGAAATATAATATTTCAGTTAGTAAAAATTTATATAAAATAATATTCAAAATTTGAAATTAAAATAAGTTTATTAATATTTTAATTATTTACAAAAATTGGAATAAGTTTTTTCCATTTGACTATCTTTTTACCATGGTTCAATATAATCCTCTTGCTCAAAATAATTATTGCCCTTTCCATAAAGCGACCCCCTATCCAACTTTATCTATTGAACGTGCTTAGTTTAATCTATATTCTTTTTAATCATACAATTTTTTTAATGTCTTCTCATTTAGGATTTCTACTAATTTATTTAAAACTATATATTATAATTCAAATAGATTATTAGAAGAATTCAAAACATAATCAGTAATCATCTTATTCGAAAATTGTCAATTTTTTTGATAGATTATGTAAGATGGATCATTTCTACTGTTTAATTAACCAGCTTGAAAATTCTGATGAGAGCATTTAATTATCACAACATATCCAATATTCAAGTTATTTTTTTATACTCTTCTTTAATTTGTTTATTTATGAATGGAAACCAATTATTTCGAATCAAAACCATGATCGTGTTAGCATTCTTCACATAATTTCTATGGTAATAAAGTTAAACTAAGGCATTTGATAATATCATTTATTTATTAAATTTTTGATGTATTATCATTTTTTATCTCAAATTTATATTATTGGTAATTATTCTCAAATTTTATTTTTTTTTATTTATTAATCATATTATTCCTCCGTTTCTTATTCATTTGTTATAGCTACTTCCTTAACAGTTACCAAATTATTACATATGGCATATTCTTATCATTAAATTTTTTTTTTCTACTCGCTTTCTGAGAAATAATTTTTAAAATATATAAGAAAAGTTTGAATATTATTTATCTGACTTTCTTCTTTCATAAATAAACTAAACATTTATTTAACAAATCTTTTAGATTATAAATATAAATTTTTTTTTGTTATTTAGCCCTTTTATTTTGTTTATATAAGTATTGAACGATACTTCATTTTTTTGATCAAATTAAAAATTTTTGTTCTTATGAAACATTAAAATTAATAAATAATTCGTAAATATTTCCGAAAAATCGAAAATTCAAAACTAAAAAAATAATATCAATTAAAATATTAAAAATAGAAAAAGAAATAAACACTTATTTACATTTCTTCCAAGTCGTAAAATTGCATCCACCATTTTTTAATATTTTAGAATCACAGTTAGAACATTCCTATGTATATATGAATTCAAATAAAGAAGAAAATATTTCATTCTTTGTCTCATTAATTGTAAATAAGAATGAATAATTTATCATATGATAAATATTGTTTATCAAGTCAATTTAACTCTAAAGATATCAATGAAATATTTTACTGCGTGATTGACAAGAGAATTCTTTACCACATCTATAATAGGAAGAAATGCATAATGATTGCATTTATTATTTGGAGAAAGTCTAATATCTTGTGTTTGTTGAAAATAATTTTTTAACATAATTTTCATATAATTTTCTTATATTTTTTAGACACAAGATTGAATTCACTTTCTATTTTAAATTATTTTCTCTTCAATCCATATTAAGAGCACAGTCAAAGCAATCAACATTTAAAATTTTTCTTTGTAAATAGTTTAAAAATCAATTTAAAAAACTAAACAATTCATTTTTTTTAATTTTCTGAGATTTTTTTCCATTAATATATATTTCGTAAAGTAAACAAAAAGATAATTTTGTAAAACTCTCTGATATCTTATAATCCTGGAGTTACCAAGAAGTTTTTTGGACCTTTAAGATTAAATCTAAAATATATATTGCAAATCCAATATTGCTAAAAATCTAATTTATTATATCCTATAAAATTCAGTTTTTCTTACTGTTTAATTTTTTCCACTTGAAAGAGTAATCTATGAGATCTTTGCTTACCATCCAATTATTAAGGCCAGGTTTATAAGTTAAGACATTCTATTTTAAAATTTAAATTCATATAACTGAATAACATTGTTGTCGTCCTTATGTTTTAAATAAATGCTCGTGTAAATTTTTTGTTTGTTGATTAACTTGCTGAAGTTGGGTTCTCAATTAATCATGATCCAATTTATGAATATACTATATAAATTCTGGTTAGGATCTAAATCAAGCAATTTTAGTTTGGTTTTCTAAATTTTAACAATACTTAAACAATAGATGTTTTAATGCAAAAATATCATATGCAAGTACATGTATAATCATAATACCTATATAAAAGAGCTTTTATTGATGGTAATAAATAAGCAATTTAAAAAATGACTTTAGAAGGTTTTAATGAGAAATGGAGTGATGGTAATAGATGCAATTAAAAGAAATTCATTCTTAAGTAATTCCTTCTAAAAAAAAGTTTGTGTTTCCTTCGACAGCAAATACTTAGAGAAAAATATGTTGTATTTTCAGACTCCACAAAGCATGAATTAGCATAAGCTGAATTTTAAATAGGTTGTTTGGATTCAGATGTTTTCTATAATTTATGTGGATATTGTTAAAGTGATACAACATCTTAATTTTTTGAAACAAAAATAAACATCTGGGACAAGGATCGGATATCCTATTGTATTTTAGTATAAAGGAAATAATTATTAAGATGATGAAGAAAATAAACCTACATGTTCTGATTTCGGATCTATTAGTGAATATTATAATAATGTATGAGTCAAAGAAACTTTAAATATCAGAAAGACCATAATTTTTGGCTTGTAGCTCAACATGAAATGTATTATTCACAATTATATAAATGCTAATTCTCTTCGCTTAACATAAATTAACCCTAATGAATGGTTATTTTGACTAAAATAAATGGTATTTTAATTCAAAAAAATAAATCACTCCAATTTTATCAAATATTAAAGCTCTTATTAAAATTTTGTAACTTTTTAATTGGTATTAAATTAATGAGAATATCACTAATTTATTCCATATATTGATAAATGGTAAATCTCTATAAAACACAATAACCTACTTAGAAAGACTGGATAACTTTTAATTATAACACAATAACAAGTATAATTCATAAATGATTATTTGATATAAATCATAGAAATAATCAATAATTATTTTAATTATGAATTTTTGTTAGGAGCATAAATCTTGTCCTATCAATTTCATTTGCATAGCATCCCATAATTGTTAAAGAAAGCTTTGCTTAACTTGCTTACAAAGACATGAATGGGATGAAAAAAATATATTCAAAGTAAATTAATTTTCTGAATGCATCTAAAAAAAGCTTGAACAATTTAAGCACAATGATATAAATTAATAAAAATAATTAAAAACTGCTTTCCAAACAGTGTTTCAAAATTTTGAAAAAACTATTTTGCATTTGAAAGAAGACCATTACATCAATGTTGATTAACAATATTAAGAATTTAAACCAGATTTCGAATTTGAATTAAACAAATTTGAAAAGCTCCTCTCTCAAACTAAGTAAGGATTTCTTGAAAAACTTGATTATTGTTTTTATCTCATAAACCAAGATGATCAATTTTATTTAAATTTAATAGATAGAAATGTTAGCGACTTAACATAGTCTGAATTTGATAAATTGGCAAATATGTTGATAGTTGATGGTTTATAAAAATGGTAAAAATTCTCTAATTCAGTTGTTAAAAAATTAGAAGAAGCATAAATAAACTTAAATTTGTAACTTTAAGCCTTTAATAATATATATTTCTTTTAAGAAATATAAGAACAAAGATGTTTAATTTGGAATTAAAAGAGTTGCACATTTCTATTGGTTTAATTTGATATAGTTAAGACTTAGAACAAGGAAGTAAGATATTTAAAGAATGGTGAGATAATGAGAATGTATGTATTGAATTATAACTTATTAGTGATTAAATAAAAGACACTTCTGCTAAACCTGAAGTCCTTACTAATTTAGAATAAATAAAGTATTTATAATGGTCTGGAAATTATGGATTGAATAATCATAAAATAGGGAGATGGAAAATTCTTTGGGACGGTAAAATATTGGATGGTGTTGGAGGAGAGTATAGAGAAGGAAAAAAGTAAGGGTAATGGAAGGAACTTATAAAAAATTATTGGAGGTAGAACCATAATTATTTATTAAAATAGTTTATCCTAGGTATATGAAATTGGTTAATATGAAAAAGATAAAAAAACGGGAAGTTGGAAGTTAATATTAAATGATAATGAGATGTATTTGATATAATTATGTAATGTTAAGTGGTGGTGGATAATACAATTGCTTTGGTTAGAAATAAGGAAAATGGATCGATATCTCTGAGAATTTTTTTAATTAAGCTAAAATCACTTGTGTTGGCAAATATGATAAGAATGGTATGAAGATTGGAAAATGGGATATAATGTATTGTAGCAATGGAAAGAAGGAATATAAAAAAATGTAAATAGAATATAAGTATAGATAATATAGTGGTGGTGGATATTATGATTTATAAGGAAACTAAAAAAAAATTGGAAAGTGGGTTTAATTGGATGAGGGGTTCCAAAATTATAAATAAGTCACTAATTATGGAGAATACAATTTGCAAGGTATGAAAATTGGTAAATGGAATATTTTGTATTGTAATGACATATAGAAAGAATATAAATAAATGTAAATTAAATATTAGTATAGATAAAATAGTGGTGGTGGATAATATGATTCATAAGGAAATCAAAAAAAAATTGGAAAGTGGGTGGAATTGGATGAGAAGTTTAGATATTATAAATAAGTCATTAATTGTGGAGAATACAATTTGCAAGGCATGAAAATCGGTCTATGGGATATCATGTTTTTCAAAGATGAATAGAAGGGATATAGATAAATGTAAATATTTTCTATGCATAGTAGTGGCGGTGGATCTTACAGTTCAGAAGATAATTCAAAAAAATTTGGAAAATGGGTTGAATTGGATGAAGAGTTTAGTTATTGGAAATAAGCTACTTATAATGGTGAATATAATTTTCAAGGTATGAAGATTGGTAGATGGGATATTATGTGGTGTAAAAAATAAGAGTAGGAATATAAATAAATGTAAATATCATACAATTAAAAGAAATATAGCGGTGGTGGATAATATGATTTAGAAGGAAATGAGAAAAAGATTGGAA